CAAATGGAAGAAATGAGGAGGTACAAGAGCTGAATAGAAAAATGTAAAGATCAGCTCGAGAAGACAAAGTCAAATATTGCAATGAAATGTGCAAAGATCAGAGTCAGAAAACCAAAAGGGAAGAACACGCTCAGCATTTCTCAAGCTGGGGGAATGAAGAAAAATATTCAAGCCTTGACTTTTGCTATTGAAGGATTCTCAGGGCAAATTATTGAATGATGCAGAAAGCATCAAAAGAAGATTGAAGGAATACACTGAGTCACTGTACCAAAAGGAAATGGTTGTTGTTCAACCATTTCAAGAGGCAGCATATGATCAAGAGCCAATAATACTGAAGACTTAAGTCCAAGGTGCATTGAAGGAATTGGCAAAGAAAAAGGCACCAGAAATTGAAGGAATAAAAATTGAAATCTTTCAAGAAAGTGAGGTGGTATTGGAGGCACTCAGTCATCTATGCCAAGAAATTTGGAGGACAATTATCTGGTCAACTGATTGGAAGAGATCCGTATTTGTGCCCATTCCAAAAAGATGTGACCCAAATGAATGCAGAAATCATCAGACAATCTCTTTGATATCCCATGCAAATAAAGTTTTACTAAAGCAATACAGAAATGGCTGCAAGCATACATTGACAGAGAACTTCCAGAGGTTCAAGCTGGATTCAGAAGAGGCCGTGGAACAAGAGATATCATTCCTGATGTTTGATGGATATTAGCTGAAAGCAGAGAATATCAGAAAGATGTTTACCTGTGTTTTATTGACCACACAAAGGCTTTCGATTGTGTGGATCATGCCAAGATATGGAAAACATTGTGAAGTATTAGTATTCCAGAGCACTTAATTGTGCTCATGAGGAATCTGTACATTGTTTTAACAGAACATGGGAACACTGAATGGTTTAAAATTAAGAAAGGTGTGTGATGGGGTTGTATTCTTTCACCATACATAGCAACCTGTATGCTGAGCAAATAATCCCAGAAGCTGGGTTATATAAAGAAAATGTGGCATCAGGATTGGAGGAAAACTCATTAACAACCTGCACTATGCAGATGATACAACTTTGCTTGCTGAAAGTGAAGAGGACTTAAAATATTTACTGATGAAGATCACAGAGTACAGGCTTCAGTATGGATTGCATCTCAATGTAAAGAAAACAAATATCTTCACCACTGAACCAATGAACAGCATTCTTATCAATGGAGAAAACATTGAAGTTGTCAAGGACTTCATTCTTCTTGTATCAGCTATCAACATTCATGGAAGCAGCAGTTGAGAAATTAAATGACATATTGCATTAGGCAAATCTGCTGCACAAGACCTTTTTAAAGTGTTGAAGAGCAAAGATGTCAGCTTGAGGACTAAGGTATGCCTGACCCAAGCCATGATATTTTCAATAATCTCATATGCATTCAAAAGCTGGACAGTGAATAAGCAAGACTGCAGAATAATTGATGCTTTTGAGTTATGGTGTTAGAGGAGAATATTGAAAGTGCCATGGACTGCCAAAAGAACCAACAGATGTGTGTTGGAAGAAGTGCAGCCACAGGATCCTTGGAGGCCAGGATGGCCAAACTTCGTCTGTCATACTTCAGACATATTGTCAAGAGGGACCAATCTCTGGAGAAGGATATCATGAGTGGTAAGGTGGAGGGTCAGAGAAGGAGAGGAAGAACCCCAGCGATATGGATTGGCAAAGTGGCAGCATAAATGGTTTCAAGTGTGGCAACAATTGTGAGGTCGGCCCAGGACCAGGCAGTGTTTCATTCTGTTGTGCATAGAGTCACTATGAGTCGGTTCCGACTCGATGGCACCTACCAACAACAATAAACATCCACATGAAGACCAGTTAATAAAACTACCAATATTATCTACATATTATCCACATGGAAGACCAGTTAATAAAACTATTACTCAAATTTACACAACAATCACTAAAGCCAGTGATGATTAAACTGAAGAATTATACCAACTTCCTGTATGAAATTGATCAAACATGTAATCAGAATGTATTGATAATTACTGGTAATTGGAATGCAAAGGTTAGAAAATATGGCCTTGGTGATAGAAACAATGCTAGAGATCACATGATAGAATTTTGCAAAACCAATATCATTGCAAATATAGTATCATTAATATTATATGCAAATAAGATTTTGTTAAGCAAAACTCAAAAGGAGCTGCAATAGTACATTGACAGAAAACTGCCAAATGTTCAAGCTGGACTCAGATGAGAAGGATCTTGGCTGACAGCAGAGAACGCCAGAAAAATATTTGTGTGTTCTTTATTTACTATGCAAAGGCTTTTGATTGTGTATCATAGCAATCTATGGACAACATTGCAGAGAACGAATATCCTGAAACACTTAATTGTGCTTATGAGGAATCTGTACATAGACCAATAGGCAGTCCTTCGAACAGAACACGGTGACTCTGAATGGCTTAAAATCAGGGAAGGTGTATTCTTCTACCATTCTTATTCAAGCTACCTAGTGAGAAAATAATCTAAGAAACTGGATTTTATGAACATGGTATCAGGACTGGAGGAAGATTCATTACAACCTGCAATATGCAGATGATACAACCTTGCTTGCTGAAAACGAGGAAGTTTTAAAATACTTACCGATGAAGCTCGAAGACCACAGCCTTCAGTATGAGTTGCACCTCAGTGTCAAGAAAACAAAAATCATTACCAATGGAGAAATGAATAACATAATGATAAATGAGGAAAACATTAAAGTTGTAAAATAATGCTTTTTGTTTGGATCCAGTACCAGCACTCATGGAAAGAACAGTTGGAAATCAAATGACATATTGTACTGGGCAAATCTGCTGCACAAGGCCTCTTTAAAGTGTTCAAGAGCAAAGATGTCAATTTGAGGTTGGTGAAATTGAACCACCTACCTTGTGGTCCAAACCCACCTTGCAGTCCAGCGCATTAACCCACATTGGCACACTAGGACACTAGTTTGAGGTCTATGGTGTGCCTAACCCAAATCATGGCATTTTCAATAACCTCATATGCATGTGAAAGTTGGACAATTAATAAGGCAGACCTTAGAAGAATTGATGCTTTAGAGTTATGGTGTTGGAGAAGAATGTCAAAAGTACCATAGACTACCAGAAGAACAAACAAATTTGTGTTGGAAGAAACACAGTTAGAATGCTCCTTTGAAGCCAGGATGGCGAGGCTTAGTCTCTCATACTTTGGACATATTATCGTGAGAGACCTGTCCCTGGAGAAGGACATCATGCTTAGTAAAGTGGAGGGTCAGCGAAAAAGAGGAAGACCCCTAAATTGATTGATTGCCGTGGCAGCAGCATTGGGCTTGAGCATAACAACAATTGTAAGGTGCAGAGGGGACAGTGTTTCATTCTGTTGTGTGTAAGGTCTCTATAATTCTGAACCAACTCCAGAGACTAACAATTCCCTTTCCTTTGTCTCAGAAAAGTCTTTCCTAAGTTTTATAACTTGAACTTGAGAGATTCTGACTGTGGTGAAGGCAACCTCACGTTTTCACAAAAATCTCTCTTAATAATCAATTTTCATATGCAGACATTTTGAATTTTATTCTTTTAAATAAAGAAGAAAAAATTAATTTTCATTGAGATGTGAAATAAGAAGTGCTACCAAATGAAGACTTATTGGCATTTTTCTTACTATTGATCTTTAGACTTCCTGCTAATTTGCTTCTTGCTTTGATGGTCTGGTACCAATTACTTTTTTTTTTTCTTTAAGTTTTTATTGTGAATTGAGTGAAAGTTTACAGGGCAGATCATCAATTTAACATTCAACAAATCATACACCTTGTTTCATTACAAGGATTATAATCCTTTCCATGTACTATCAGTTAACAATATTTCTCTCTATTCATTTTAGCTCTTTTTTTTTTTTAACACTCAGGCATATGTAATAATTTACACCACCAACGGGCACATTCTGTAAGCCTGCCTCCTGGCTGCCAGCTCTCAGATCCTCTCTTCCCATGAATCTAGAG